TTAAAAACAGAAGGCAATGTTCAACATTCCAATTCAACAACCCCCAGTCCGTCCAAGCCGTTGGCCAGGAACATCACTTTCTTCCTGCCCGTTTGGTGGGGGAAGACAACAACAAGCCCAGGAAGCACCCCGACCCGGTACGTCGCTAGGCACAACAACCAGACCTCGCACTCCTGGCACCGCTCCCGCTACCTCGACAAGATTCAACGAGAGCTTGCTGACGCCTCCTATGGGCCAAGGGGCATTCCCTCCTCCGCCGGGAGCGGGTCACAAGACTAGGAGGTCACTTCCTGGGACGAGCGGGAGCAGGTGGTTTAGCGGGTTTGGGGGGTGGAGGAGTCCAAAGTATATATCTTGATTTGTTTTCACTCTCTTGTTGTCCTCACTTACGACTTTATCTTTGTTATGAGATAGATCTCGCATTTTCTCACCGTAACGACCAGATTTTAGTTTTTTCTCTTCTTTGGTGTAACTATTGTATATTAACGGACTGTATAATATCATGTATTACGGCTGTACCTATAGGTAAACGATGGAAAGCATGGAAAAAGGGGGGGCGTTCATGGTGGCAGTTGTCAGTCGTTTAGTTTCATGATTTTTGTCTTTGGATTATGGGAAAGAGAGGCGCGTACGGTCGTTCTGCATAAGATACATGGGGATGAACATGGGGGGGGGGCATTGGTTTAAGGAGCATGGAGACAGTAGCATGAATATTGGGTTTTGGGACCAGGGCATTAGGGGCAGGAGCATAATCATAACATAACCGGATCGGGGGCACAGATCCAAGTCAGGAGGCCAACTGTATTTGAACAGCATTTCTATCATCAACCGAACAGATCGCTATACACAAATATCCCTATGAAAAGCACACCCTTACCTCACCCTTTTTTTTATAATCGGTTTTTGAGTTCAGGTGTTTCCCTACAATTAATTCACCTGCACCCTACAACCAACAACAGAAATCGTACAGTTGATTGACCACCGCAGTTCCGCAACAAAAGACACATAGAGAAGAAGAACCACCACTTTATTATCTTACACCGCCTATCCTATATACACTTTCCCGCCCCCCCCCCTGAAAAAAATCAATCATCCTCCTCCTCCTTCCCATACCTCTCCTCAAAACTAGCCCACATGGCCTGCTCCTTCATCAGCCTCCTCCGCAGCCTCATTTGGGCTTCATACTCCCTCAGCCTAGCATCCGCTTCGAGCATGCTGCCTAGGACCATGCCCGACATTTGGATGTACCTATTTCCTCACATCAGCACTTCCATATTCCACACCAGGTTGGAGGGGACACCTTACACCTTGAACTGAATAGTCAAACCCCTGTACACCGGCGAGAAAGCATACCCCAACCCGCCCAGCACCGCCGTCGCAACCCCCCACTTCAGCGCGCCAGAGACCGCACCCCGTGTCGCGGCCCAGGAGGCGTCGACCGCTTCTTCGTGTTTGGCGTTGTTGAGGGAGGTGGGCATCATTGGTCGCCAGAGAGGTCTTTAGCTTCTAATTGTTGCTCTTGCGTTGGATGGAAATGATCTCAGTTTTTGAGATCGCGTGGTGGGTAGATAATCGGTCTTCAAGAATGGGGATAGGTGGTATCAAGAGTGTGTTGTGTCTTGGCTGCTGTTTGGTGAAACTGAACTTGTCCGTGAGTGATGATGTCGTTGGTGATATGTGAGCTTAAACCCTGACCAGCGTGTTGAAAGACCACTTCCCAAAATTGAACTTCTGTTAATGACCAAACAGGAGCTTCAATATCACGAGCTGCAACCAAACAAGCACGGTGTACCTCGATCACGCTGCGTCATAAGCTCGTAAGGCTGCTGCGTTTCCGATGCAAGGATGGCGAGGAGGATTGGTTCGAACTATTCCCGGCAGTTTGGCACCCTGCCCACAAAATAATTGAGACACTACAGTAAAGTTAACCCATATTATACTCTGAACTATACCTTAAACGTAAGTAATAGGCTTTTAAGTGATCCTTTAAGGCCTGTTAACTATCTTTAAAGGCCTATGGACTATCCTTGAAGGCATATTACCTACTTTAGTGTCCCAATTATTTTGTGGGCAGGGTGTTTGGTCCAACATCAATCCATCACACCACTCCCGCCAAATGGTGGGGCCCAAGGCCGTCGCAACCGTCGAAGAGCTAAAATCGTGTGAAATTCAGGACGACCTTTTTTTTTTCAAGGCATTTTTTGAATGGAGAATCTTGTTCAATTCTACTTATTGTTTCTGCACATTTTTTGGTTTCCTCCCTGTCCTTCTTTGTCTGCGCAGTTCCCAGCTGCCAGCCCTTTCGAAACCAAGAACAAAAAACTCCATTTCTTATGCTCGCTTTTATAACATGATATACACCCGAATTTAAACACTCAACGTCCCCTTAGTACTAGGCACCTCCCCCTCCTTCCCAGCAACCCTCGAAATAGCCTCCCTAATCGCCACCGCCAGCGCCTTGAACGCGCTCTCGGCCCTGTGGTGGTCATTATCCCCCCTAATCACATCCACATGCAGCGTGATGCGCGCCGCCTGCGCGAAGCTTTGCATGCAGTGAGGGATCATCTCGGTGCTCAGATCCCCAATCTTCTCGCGCTTGAGTCCCAAGTCGATAACGCTGTGCGGTCTGTTGGAGATGTCGACCACGGCTCTGCTGAGGGCCTCGTCGAGGGGGCAGTAGGCGACGAAAGCGCTTGATGCCGACGGGGGTGCCGAGGGCTTGGGAAAAGGCGTATCCGAGGGCGATGCAGACGTCTTCGGCCGTGTGGTGGTCATCGACTGTTTTGAAACATTTTAAAATCAGAAAAAGTTCCCTTTGAGTAGGGGAGGGGGGGTGACTAACTGTGCAAATCACCCTTGCAGTTCAGCGCCAGACTCCAGCCCGCATGCTTGGACAGGGCGTGAAGCATGTGGTCCAAGAAACCAATGCCGGTGTTGATGCTGATGGTCTGCGACTTGCTCGTCTGGCTGGCGTGGTCCTGGCCCTTGAAGAGACGGGCGTCGGTGTCTGGGTGGAAGCGCCCGCCGTCGAGATTCAGCGAAAGCTGGATCTTGGTCTCGTTGGTGTCGCGCGCAAAAGCGGCCCAGCGGGGAGGGTGTTCAGCAGTAGCCATTTTGTGATCGGTTGTATACTTTCTTACTCGAAAAAAGACCCTTGTAAATGCCTACTTTCAAGTGTTGCCGCGAATACCTTCAACTTCCGCGAGCGCAATCGGCGACACCAAGTCAATGACTGACCAACAAACCGATAAGATAAATCCCAGATAAATTAACCCCGCCAAAAAATCCAACGGACGAACTTCCCGCCACTTTTTCACCCATTTTTGCCTGCCGGAACACCCCCCTGTTCTCCACCCAATCAAACCGATAAGCAACCTCCCCCAGCTCCGATAAGGCCCTGCCCATGCTCTCAATTCCAAAAATTTCCAGACCAGCTTTGCGCCCTGCGCGCATCATCACCACCACCAGCACCACCGACAAATCCATTCCCTACCAACCAACCCCCCCCAATTTACCAACCCCCCGACAATAACAATGGCACCAACCCGAACAATAAAAAACAAACACGCCGCCGGCTCCAAATCCTCCTCCTCCTCCTCCGGCCCAAAACGATCCTCTTCATCCGGCGTGAAGAAACCCTCAGGCGGCAAGGGTGCCCCCAAAGGCAAAATCCCCCCCAAAGAACAAAAGTCCAAACCCAACTTCGGCCAAGACCGCAAAAAGAAACCCCGCGTCTACACCGAAAAAGAGCTAGGGATCCCAGAGCTGAATATGATCACCCCGTTGGGGTGACCAAGCCCAAAGGGAAGAAGAAGGGGAAGGTTTTTGTTGATGATAGGGTGCGTTCCCCCCTTCCCTCCCCCCAAACCCCCCTCCCAATATCCCCCCCCCCCCCCACCGGGCTAATGAAAAAAAAGACATGTAGGAATCAATGTCGACAATCCTAGCCATAGTCCAAGCCGAGAAAGAAGGCCAGATCGAGTCCAAGTTAATCAAGGCCCGCCAAATGGAGGAGATTCGCGAGGCGCGCAAAGCAGAGAGCGGAGAAGAAGGAGCAGGAGAGGAAGGCTAAGCTGGATGAGACGAAGGAGTTGATGAGGAAGAAGAGGAAGAGGGGTGATGGGGAGAAGACGAAAAAGGAGGATGAGGAGGGGGATAAGATTGTCAAGGAGGCTGTTTTGAGGGGTACCCAGGCGGGGAGGACGAAGAAGAAGAGTGTTTCTTTTGCGGCCGAGTAGGGGGGGTAATGATGGAGGGGGCTGTGTTTCTTTTATCGGCATATGGATGGGAATTATATGGCGGGCGTTATGATGGCGTTTTTTTTCTTTGGGCGGGGAGAGACAAGGGGTGGACAAAATCGGGATGCATTTTTGAAGTTTTCGTTGACTATTGAGAGATACCAATGGATGGAAGAATGGCAAGAGTGCGGTCGTCTTTTTACTTTGCTGAGTATGTATGAATGGAGATCTCAGGGAAGGTGTATATATGCCTGTCTTGTATTGAGAAATAATACCTGACTTGAAGACGTTATCCTCACAAGAGACACGCCCAAGAACCACCCACAGAATCATCTCTCATATCTAACCATCATCTGTTTGCCTTGATCCAAGCAAACACTCAACCCCAACCCCCCCCCCCCCACAGTCACCAACAAACATCCACACCATATATACATCCGCCCTCCCCCCTTGTTCCAGCGAAGTAGCTCAAATGGAGTTAACAGTGAAACGTCCGGCCGGGTCGGTGCTCCCCAAGGGTGCGACTGGGTGATGGGAAGCACCCATGGTGGCTGTGTTTGGCAAGCCGACCTGGGAAGGCCCGAGCAGGCACAGCTCACCGGGGTCATTAGTCGTATGGGCAAGAAGGGTCCCAAGCTTCGCTTCACTTTTTTCGTGCCTTTTGCTTTTACAACCTGACATCACCACCCACTCATTCCCTCCTTTTTGCCAATGAGAACAGCCCAAGACCGGTCTTTGGCAGCAAGTCTATCACGAAATCTCCGGTTGACAGCCTCACACAAGCAAGTTCTCTACCGTGGGCATGCTAAGTGATTTTAACTATTATTGTATTTTTTTTTTTTTGGTTTTTTGAAAACCAACAGGCGTCCTTGTCTCAGAACAAAAAAAGACTCCATCAAGTCTGAGTGTCTCGACATACAGCCGAGCCTGCGCTGCCACGTCTTTAGAAAAGCAGGTATCAGCCATAACTCGGGCTTCATCTCTCGAGTATCAAGGAACACAGGCACGACTATCGGCACTACTATCGGCACTCAAACAACGGACATGATAACACCCCTGAATAAGCCACAGGACATGAACTGGTCTAATATTATTTTGTATTCGTACATTCCCCGTCTTCTATCCATTAACCCAGCCGATGGCCAGTTCCCCTTGTCTTCCAGGAGTCGGGAAGTGGCCCGGAGCCGGCGGAGGCCCCCGTAGAACTGCCCGACGTCTGGGTCCGTGGGCGAAATCCGGTGCCGTACTCGCGTTGGAGAATTCTCGGCGTGGTGACGAGTCGAGACACGAATGCTGGAGTGGCCAACCAATTTCTACCGCCTCCAAACTCGGGCCAGGTGCGTACTAAGAAGTCGTGAAGATGGGCGGCCAAGATACCACAAATCTGTTGGGGCAGAGCAGCAGGGTTCATGATGACGGACATGCCGAGCATGCAATACGGAACAAGCTGGGCTGGCACGGTGAAAAAGAAAAAGTTGGCCTTCATGCCGCGCGAATCTTGCGAGGCCGTGTAGCATAGAGCAATAATCAAGGCGCTGATGAGAAAAGGCTGGAAGCCCAGGAAACACTGGGTGAACAGCTATTATGTGTTTACGGTTAGCTGTCCGTTTACGATGTCGGGCAACAAAAGTCGAATTTCCCCAGGTAAGAAAATGTAGGGCGCCGTAAAAACCACACCGAACATATTGAGTATGCTCGGGTCA